CGGACTCTTCGGCGCCGCAGGCCGGACAGGTCCCTCTGGCTGGTGCGACCTGGATCCCGAGTAGCCGCGGGTCTAGAGTGCGAGCGACTGGGTCTTCGCGCCTCTTCGCGGCCCCACGTGCACTTTCCTGCCGCAGACCTGCGACCGGAAGCCCGGCGACACCGAGGGAGCGAAACACAGCCAAGGTTCCCGCCCTGAGGTTAGCGAAGCGCCGTCGGAACAGGTCGGTTTTTCTGCTTTTAGCCGCGTTAAATTGGGTGTCAATCTGGCGGCTGGGAAGGCCTCACCAAGCTCTCTGCCTCACTATGCGAGGTCAGGAGAACGGGGGTTGGGGGTGGGGAGTGGTGAACCCCCAAATCTCTTTCCTTCAGATCCCCTCAATCTCATGAAATATCAGGAAGGGGTTAAGAAATAGCGTCACCTGTGGCCAAGCTTTTATGAGCTTTGTGATTTTCCACGATAAAACTGTTACTGAAGGACCCAAGTATGGCGATGCTTGTTGTCTGATGTGCTACTGCGAATGGTACCTTGCTTGGTTCTTAGAAGTTCCCAATACCGCCTGCTGTGGTGGCAAGTTCTCTAAGTTGCGTAACTTTCCTTTTCTGTTTCTTAATAGGGGCACTATGAACGAAGAGGAGCATTTTGTAAACATCGATTTGGATGATGACAACATTTGCAGTGTTTGTAAACTGGGAACAGACAAAGAAACACTCTCCTTCTGCCACATTTGTTTTGAACTAAATATTGAGGGTAAGGACAGTATGGTTTTGATTTTATGACATGAACTTTGCATAACTACTTAATGCTGATACATACACTTCATGGTGATAACGTAAAGTTAAATTTCTTGAATGATTGGAAACTGCTAAGTGTGAAATGTGGATCTCCACTTAAAGATACGGTTGTCTGGAAATGAAGATGGAGTTAACAAAGTTAAGATTTAAGAGAGTTAAGTATTTTAAATACCCAGAGTAGTAATCCCATTTGAGGTATTAGTATTGCTTGGTAGACATGTTTCCTGCTTGAGACCTAGGCTGTCAGAATCCAACCGACCTTTGTGTGAGTTTTCATATTGTGTGTTTCATAATGACAGTTTATATAGATAAGCAAATGTAATTTTGTGCCTTCTGGCCTGCAATGCTAATACCTCAGGTGACCCTGAATTTTTCCTCTCTTCCCCATTATTCCATCATGTGGAGAAATGTTCCTAAAATTTTATATGCACTTTTTCATTGATCTCAAACATCTGTAGGAATTTTTAAAACAAAACATTTTTTAAATTTTGTAACAATATCACTAAATACATGGAAAAGTACCCCAAAGATTAAAAAAAAAACTAATTGAAAGTATTTGGAAAGTTAATGTGTCTGTGGCTATCAAGAGTTCGCTTCCAAGAAATGTGGAGGTATTTCCTTAATCTTGATGTCATATTAAAACTTATTCTTTTTAGATATTTATGAGTCACTAAAAATCTTTATATTCTTGTTATCATAAGGTTTGCCTATATTTTGAATTTTGAGTCATACTAAGAGACTGTTAGATTTGGACTGTTTTAAAGCAGCATTTCTCTTTTCACTGGACTATATATATGAAAGTTTTCATGATCTTTGTTTCTTTTTTTATAGTGAGACATCATCTTAGAGTAAGCACACAGAGATTACAATTGTATACACTGGAATTTCTGTTAGGACATGTTACTCAGAAATGTCACCAAACATGTGATTTAACATTGGATTTCTTTTGAGTTACATAGAACCTATGACTTTGGATTTAACAAGTATAGTAATTAAGCTAATTTCAAAAGGATAAATTAAAGATAATGATTCTTCTGGGGAATTTACATTATACCAGATTCTTAATTGTGCTAAAATGAAAGACTAAATTTATTTTCTTCAGAAATAGAGTGGCCCTGTACATTCAGACAGGTGTAGAGTTTTACATTTAGTTGAGAAAGACATTAGACCTTGTCCAGTTCAAACTGCATTTTACATGTAAGCAAAGTGAGATCCAGAAAGTTGGACTGCTCAAGGTTGCTGCAGTGGTGATGGCAAACTGTTGTTATTATGTGCTAGGCATTGTGCTAAGCACCTTACATGGATTATCTTATTTAACTCAAAATAGCTGTGGTATGACTTAACTATTACTCATTTTAAATGTGATAGAACTCAAACTTACAAACCTAAGAAATGCACTTTGAAATCATAATTGACCATCCTAGGCTTTGAAACCTGGCCCATTATTAATAGTATATGTGATCTTAATTCCTCTAATCTACTGGCAGTAGTTATTTTAATTGTAGGGCTGATAAAAACCTATACTCCTGCTTCCTAATTGATTATCTTTACTATTCATTTACCTAACTTTTCCTAACCACTGCTTTCTGCTAAATCATCATTATTGGGGCTCATGTCGTAGAAACCTAAATTTTCATCATGGCTTTTGTAGCATTTGTCTTCAATGGTCCTCCGGTAACATCTTTGTAAATACTTTAGCAAATATGACATACATCCTGTTTTTTTTTTGTTTTTTTTTTTGTAATACAGTAGTGGTCTCTCAAAATGCGGAAGCAGTTCTCAATTTGAACTAGAACAATTCAGAACAATTCTCAATTTAGAACTATTTTATTTAATATTCTACATATACTCTAGGCTTTATATACTTAAATGCCAGTTTACTTTTGTGAGAAGTTAGAGCTAAATTTGTTTTTCTGTTTATGTGATATCTAGTCTCAACTCTCACAAATACACATTTTCCTTTTTGGTATAGTGATAAGTTAATACATTATAACTATTTAATATCATAAGATTATTGTAGGAAAAAGGAAGGGAAAGGAGTACCCTGATTTCCACAAAATTACAGTTTTTATATTTGTATAGGTTTTTGAAGATCAACAGAAAAAAGTGAAAAATCACATACCAGAAAAATTACCAGGTATATTCTTTGTTAGTAGACCATTTTAAATGTTTTTCAAGTTTTCTTTCCAATACCAAGTTCCTAGCATAATGTCAGTCAGTAAACTGGAATGTAAGAGGAACTTCTAAAAAATGACAATTAACTCTACTAGCTTGATATAATTTTCTTCGTGTTATAGTAATATTGCTATTGTCTGGTTTCATAGCTTCCTATCTAAATGTATTACAAACTACTCAGTTTTTCTTTATTTCTCAAAAAGACTTAGTAAAAATAAATTCTCTTGAGGAATAATAATATTTAGGCTAATTTTGAGTCCATACATTTGTAGTGAATAAAAATAATATTTTATACTTTTCAGATTGTTTATATTGAATGAACATTGGTCTCCTAATCCACTGGCCTCTTGTTTAAAAGTTGTGTGCATGCATATGTTTATAAAATAAAAACAAAGGAAAAAGAGAAAAAACAAAAGACAGTCTAAGCTTGTTGGAGAGATTTTGTATTCTGCACATTGCTCTAAGTTTTGTTTTTTCTGTGACTTCCCAGTAATTAAAAGGAAAGGGATGCCTAATTTTTTTGTATACTTCCAAGCCATCAATAATAAACTTTTAAGGACTAAGAAATAGACTTTGAAGAACTCAAATCTTTTTATATATTCACCAAGTTGACTTTTTAAAACTAATAATTCATTAAGGTAGTTTGTATACTTCTAGGATTAGCAGACAGATACATAAATTTCCTAATACCTATAACCTAACCTTGGCAGTAAGATACAATAAACATTCATGTTAATGACCAAGTGCTCTAATATGGATCTAGTTCACTGTGGTAAAATCTCTAAGCTATTTTATGACCAAATCACTAACATTTCTAAGCTGAGACACAGAGGAAGGCAGCCTAGAGTGGTGAGGAGCCAGTAATGAAACTAAACTGTAATATAACAAAGTCAGAACGAGACTAGATGGGGGAAATGATGCAGGACTCCAGTACTGTTATTTCATAACTTATTTTCATTTTGTGCCAAAGAATTTTGACACACCAATTCCCATTTCACCAAGCAACCTCTTTAGTGGAGGTTGATGAGGAAGCGTATATCTAGCTGCTGTCTGTGTAGTCCGTTTTGGATTTTTTTCTCTAATATGTTGTTCTTTCCAGGAGGCAGAAGCACATTCAGCTCCTTAGTAAATCTTTACAGCAAGACAAATCTGTAGATATTTTCTCTTAGTTAAGGCACAGGTGAGTTATTCTATTTTGGTTCTTGTGTCTTTGACTGTTAACACTGTTCATGATCCATAGTCGGGGACTAGTTTGAATCTTAGAATCTTAGTATGAATTCCTTGAAGAAAAGTGATATATAAATCACCTAAATCAAGGATTTCACACTATCACTTTTCCTCTTTGTCCTGCTTCTGACATATCAACATCTTTCTACTTACATAAGTAAAGAGGTCCCCACTTGTCATGGAAATACTAGATACAAACTCAGTCTGATGTTAACAGTTTTCTCATTTCCCATCCTATAATGTCATCATCGTGTACTAATATTAACTAAAAGCAGCATTTTGGGGCCAGGGATTTAGCTCTGGTTCCGCTGCCTGCCTAGCAAGTGCAAAGTCCTGATCCCCAAACCCCCTCCCTCAGCAGCATTTTTAAATATAAAGCTTAATATGGTCATCTTCATTATATTTGGACATAAAGACTCAAGATTAAATTTTTGCCTTAGCTGCCTTGGTACTTTAAGTAAATGTGAGTACTTTCTAAATGGCTCTGCTGGTAAAACTTCATTTTCTTATCCCTGACCTAATATGAGGGCAGAGTGAGAAACAGTTTTGCTATATAATCCAGGCTGGCCTTGAACTTGCAGCAATTCTCCTGCCTCAGCATCCCTGACCTAATTATCTTTTTTTTTTTTTTTTTTTTTTTTTTTTTTTTCTTCCAACTTTACTGCTTAAATTTATTAGGCTGACTAATTTGAATCTAAAGTAAATTTAAATTTTGATCAGACACAGTTTTGGCTATGAAGGTATATCTGTTAGACATTAGGTCTGACAATATGTAGGAGAAAATCCAGATATAATGGTGAAATGAAATGGAATGGATATGTATACCTTTCAGAAAAAGTTGTGAGTTAGTATGGTAGTTCCATGATCAGAAGGACATAAGTTTCTGGGGTGTTTTTGTTGTCCCACTTTCCTGAACACATAGTTTGCATCATCAAGGTCACCTCATGAACTAAGGTAGCTGCTGGAATTCTAGCCATTGCTTCCTTATTCCCAGGCAGAAAAGAAAGGACATACCAGCATTCTCTCTGCACCTGAAAATAACTTTTCTTGAAGTTTTGTTAATAATTTCCTGTTCATCTTGTTGTCCTTGTATTCAAGAGAAGCTGCTTCAGTGTTTTTACAAAGAAACAATGGGTATTGAGTAGGCAACTTGCAAAATATGCCTCAAAGAGGCTCTCAATAAAGCTTACACTAATTGAAAATAAACTATTTGAGATATAATTAAAGTCAACAAATAATGCTCTGATCTTCTAATTTTGGAGTCTGAACTAGAAGAGGTTGTAACAAAATAGGGGATTGTGCTGTGAGGGTGGGCATGCAGCCAGACAAGTGCCCTTTGTCAGTACCCAAAATATAATGATTAATGCTTATATCTATAAAGAGGTCCTACAGTATCTTTACTCTGTTAAAAACTTGTATAACTAGTTTATTATAAAGTATATTATAAAATTAGGGGAAAAAGTCTCCTTGGCTTTTCCTTGCTTCTTTTCATGATAGAGCAGCACAGTAATTCTACTTTACTTGCTACTTTTACAGGAGAATGCTTTTCTACAG